TCACCTGGCAAACTTCTCTCCAGTCTTCAAGATCCAGCTCACACGTCACTTCCTCTTACAAGACTTTCCCACCCTACCAGGAAGAGGCCATTGTTGTCCCCTCCTTCCTCCTCTAGTACCTTCCTGTCCCTTGGGTATGATACTGTAACACTGTATGGTCACTTCTGAGAATATTTAACTCTCCCAACGAACAGATCTTCTCAAGGACAGGAGCTGTATCTTATTTACTTCCACTTGTGAAGAAACTAACCCAGTGCCCAACATACAACAGGCACACAGGAAAAAAAAAAAAAAAAAAAAAAAAAAAAAAAAAAATATATATATATATATAAAATAATAAAAGAATTCCTCACCAAAAGAGAAAAGAAATGAAAGTTTTTACTTTCTATCAGGTGTACTGCAATCTCACATACCTAACAATATGTGTCAGGATTCCAACAGGCAAGGTCATAAATCTCATTCTCCCCTAGAGCAAAGCTTCTGCCAGGCCTTTATTACTCCATCCCTGGATTGTTAAAGCTCCGCCCATAAGAAGCCTAAGCCCTGGAAACCACTCTGTTTCTCCTTATTTCTCTCGAAAACGTTGATCTGGTCTCCAAACTGCACCCCCCCGACTCCGAGGGAAGCGCTCCTCACACAGGCTCCACCGACAGCGCCTTCACCCCAGCAATAACTGGGTTCCACCAGTCTGCAAGGGACAGGGGGCATGCAGAAACACGCAGAAACAGTTCATCCCTGCTGCACTAGATGGAAAATAGTAACACTTTTGTCATCAGAAGGTTTTAAAAATTATTACCTTTCCCTGTCATTAGTTTTATGAACTTTTCCCAATAATGAGCTGAATCATTCCCTCATGCATAAGAGGATTAAAAAATCAATATTGTAAAAGTCAGATGCAAAGAGAGAGAACGGAAGAGCATATTAAATGTCAAACTGCAGTCAGCACACTTGAAAGAAAAATCCTCCAGGCGAGGCTCAGGGTCAAGGGTGCGGGGCTCGAGGCACTGGTCAAAGGTGGCACCAAGGAGAGGTGGGCAGCCAGCTCATTTGGCCAGCGTCCATGCCAGGTCTGCCTTGGGGTCCAGCCTGGCCCTGTGGCTAGGAGCACGTGCTGTGATCCAGACACTAGGGCCTTACGTGCTCTGTCCAGCAGGCTCCTTCAATCCTTGCATGTGGAAGGCCGCTTGAGAAAGGAAAATTCTCTAGGCTTCTGTGCAGGTTCTTCTCTCCATCCTTCTCCTCTTATTTAAATCTTCCAAAGTACAGTTTTGAAATTGTCTTCACTAAAAGCATCTACCAACCACACCAACCTAAATGGAAGTAATGGCCACGGCATCACCCAGCATCTAGGTGAGTGCCGCATGTCCCCGCCGACTTATAGAACAGGGCCGGGTACTAGCTCCCCTCCTCTGTTCTCACTGAGTACTGAAAGCGGTTGTAAGCCTTCAAAACCAAGCTCCTATGACTCCGCATTCTGCTGTAACACCAAGCAACAGAAACCAACTTCGGTTACCTCAAGCAAAAGAGATTTGGCGGCAGGTTATCAGCGGATGATCCAATCCTCAGGAAGGCAGAAGGACCAGTCAGAAACCAATGGCAGCCCGCAGGGGTAGGAGACAGTAAAACAACCTCTCAGGATGACTGTGCTGACCAGGAGGCCTCAGCTGCGATGAATAATCCCACCCTGGCCTCCTCGCTCATTCCAAACTGAAAGTCCCTGGAGAGAGGGTCTGACCAGCTGCCCTCAGGCCCTGTGCCAGACCCTGCCTGTACCAGGGCAGGGGAGAGAAGGGACGTAGCTTCCATAAAGGACGTTGGGCATTGGAATTGCACTCCCACTGAGATGAGACTCAACAGGAAACAGGTAAGTTCCCAAAAGGAAACCGAGGGCACCAACTGCGTGGAGAAAGAGTCAAACGACGGGAACACCCACAAAAGTAGGTAATAGACATTTTCAAACTGAAGGGAGCCACTTGCTTCGCTATTCCATAGGAACTCTGGTTGAGAACGGCATTTATTCATCCAGAGATTTGGGGGAAAAAATCAAGATGTATCTTCTTTATTCTAAAGTCACCCTTTCTTTAAGAAGCCCACACACCTGTCCTGAAGGTCATTTACGTTCCTTCCCACCTATAAAGGTGCTCCTCCAGGGACAGGCCTGAGGAGGGGCCCAGCCTTCTCCTTTACAGGTGGAAAAAGGGAAGCTGCGACTTCTCTTTCACTGTAATTAACACATTCCAGGTGAGAATGCAGAGATCCACACCTGTAGGCTGCTCTGTTCCGTGCTGGGTGACTGTCCCAGCGGGCCAACTTTTTTGCTCATGCTGTACTGATTAAGCCTTCACCTCCAGGACGAGAGTCCTTTCGACTTGGATGTCAGGCTGCCGACAGAGAAGCAACAACCTGCCCCTCAGAGACTATCTGCAAGCGCCTCTAAAAGCTGGGGTGTGCTCACCCCAGTTTCTCTGCATCGACTGAGTCTTCACCAGGATTCTAAAACCACATCACAGATCATGTCATTCCCATCCTCATGAATTCTTGGAATCCTCCACAGTTTCAGGCTTGCTGTGGGATACTTTGTGGGTTAACTCCTCAAGGAGTCCAAGACCTCCTATAATCTAGCTTCACACCTCGATCACCTCTTCTCTCACTGTGTCCCGTCACCTCCTTGACACCTACCTGGCTCAGCCCAGAGGCTCCCTGGGCCTGGGGGCTCACATCGCTCAAGGCCAGGTCAAATGCATCTCTCCCACCAGCAGTTGACCCCACTGCCTTTGCATTCCCACACATATTACCTTTACCTCCATTTCACACTTACCGTAACTGATTTGGCCTTTTTCTGAGTTGTTGTTTGAAGTCTGTCTTCCTCACTAGACTGAAAATTTCCCAGGGGTGAGGATCCTGCATTGTCTGTATCTCCCAGAGGGCCTGGTTCAACCAGCATTTCTATGCCTTCCGCAGTCTGAACACCTGTGCAGAGGCCTTCCCCTCCGGGGCGGGCACAGTCCCAAGTGGTGATCTCACATCTCTCCAACTTCCTTTTGGGGAGGACAGCATGCACCAGGCCCCCCACCTGAAGCAGGGGGGTGCTGCTCCTGGTCTCCCAGCCCAGGGCTTCTGAAGCAGACAGTGGATGCTGCCACAGCTACAGTCCCTTCCCCACACCTTCCTTGTCATCATATGATTTACATTAAGAACTAAATATTTGGTCTTCCCCTGTCTCTGGCACAGAGCTCCTAAAACCCTTGGAATTTCCTAAGTGATGAGAGAGATAAAGGTGTCTCTTTGTTACATCAATGAGGTGACTTTTGGAAAGCACCTGGGGATACAGGCTGGTTGCCAGGGGAACCAAACACATGATTGGAGGGTTGAACTTTCAGTCCCACCCCCTGACCTCCAGGGAGGGGAGAGGGGCTGGAGGTCGGATCAGTCACCACTGGCCAATGATTTAGTCAGTCGTGCTGTGTAATGAAGCCTCCATAAAAATCCATAAAAATGGGGTTCCAAGAGCTTGCAGGTTGGTGAGCACGTGGCGATCTGGGGAGAGGACAGCTCCTGCAGAGGACATGGAGGCTCCGCGCCCCTTCCCCAGACCTTGCCCTGTGCATCTCTTCCACCAGCTGTTCCTGAGTTATGTCCTTTCATAATAAACCAGTAATCTAGTAACAGATATGTTCCTCTGAGTCCTGTGGGCCACTCCAGCACATTAATGGAACCCAGTGAGGGGCTGTGGGAACTTCCGATTTCCAGCCAGTTGGTCCGAAGCACAGGACTTCAATTGGTGTCTGAAGTAGGGGTGGGGGTAGGACGGATAGGGGACAGTCTTGTAGGACGGAGCCCTCAACCTGTGGAATCTGAGGCTATCTCCAGGTAGACAGTGTCAGAATTGAATTCAATTGTAGGACACTCAGCTGGTATCAGAGAATTCCTTAGATGAGTCGGGGAAAGCCACACACACTGGAATTGGGAGAACTATCTCTTCCTGACAGTCCTAATTCTGTCTGGGTGCCCCCCTCCCCTGAAACATGACTCGAAAAGAGCCCTAGCTCCAGTTGGTGGAGCCCCCCTGCTGTCTCCACTGAGGACTGGCTCAGCCATGGCCACCTGCTGTGAGTCAGGCCAATGGGACATAAGAGGACTTCACCTGGGGCTTCTGGGAAAGTTCTCCTTGCTGACAGAGCCATCACAGCCTCTCTTCTTCTGCCAAGTGTTGTCCTGTCTATATGAGTCCTGGGGGGCAGTAGCAGCCATTGTTTACCTGTCAGGACAGCTGGCCTGAGGATGCCCTGGCATGCTGAGGACGCAGAGTGGAAGGAGAAGAAGCTAGTCCATGATGACGCCAATGCGCCGCTCAACAAGTCAACCCTGGGGCACTTCTAGACTTCTCTATTGTGAAGTAAAGCCTCACTTACAGCAGAGAGAGTCCTAACAGCCTCCCATCAATTAAATGTATCAATAACAATAACAGCAATAATAGCACACCTTCATGATCTGCCAGGCACATGCTAAACCCTGGACAGTTATTGTCTCCTCTAATTCCCTGGGCAGTCCTGTGTGGGACCATCATGATCTTCGAGGAGGGCTCACAGGTACGGGAGGATGTGCCCAAGCTGAAAAGTAGGGAGCTGGGATTTGCACCTAGGGTGCCCCACTAAAAGTTACACTCTCCATCTCGCTTATTACATGGCCACAAGCCCCTAGTCCTATCCCTTCACCATCTCCTGCACACATACCAACACAGAGTGGGACCAGACCGGTGAATGATCCAGCCCTTACCCTGAAACCTGAGGCCCCAGAGACTGAAAACACAGGTCAGGGGCAGCAAAGCAAATCCATAAGAGAGCCAGGGCTAGAACTCAAGCTTCTGGTGCCTAGAAAGACATCCTTTCCACAGAGGTGAGGCCAAGCCCCGGCTTCAGACACATCAGCTTCCAGGGCCAGATCTCTGCTTCCCAGTGCTGCTCCGCACAAAAGGCCAGCTCAGGAAGATGCGCACTCACCAGCTGGTCTGACCTCCACTTGTCCTGGTCAACGCTGCCCTCCCCTCGCTGCAGGGACACACGCTGGTGCTGGGTGGCTGCCTCTCTTTCCCTCGTGGCCACCTGGAGCAGCTCATCCTGGACCATGGCCTGCTCCTGTTTATACCTGTGGCAGAAGAGAGATGGAGAGAAGCAGATGCAGATGTCACGACTGGCAGAAGGTAGCCAAGCAAAGGTGTGCACACTCACTTCAGCTGGCTGGGGATGGAGATCTGAGGCCAGCTGGAGAGGGTTAGGCATCAGTGACAGGACCCAAGGCAAGAGGATACAGTGATACTTTCTCAGCCAGGACAATACAGATTACAAACAAAGGAGGCCTGACCACCATGTCAGACAGCGTATGCCAAATGAGAGTCTCGGGGTAGGGGTTCAATCCCGTGCTAGCCACTCCTTCGGAGTACATAGGCAGCATGGGAAGCCCCACTTCTCTGCCTCCACACGAGAGCTTGAAGGTTTTAGATTGTAGCAGCCCTTGGTTTTGAACATTTAACTCTTCACATCCTGAATGTGTTCCTACCCTTCGACCTATTTCTGGGCATTCTGCCTACTAAAATAATCCTGAAGAGAGAAAGAAGTTATTAGCGATGAGATGCTGTTAGAAGTATTATTTATTATAGTGTAAAAAATGCAAACCACTTCAATGTCCAACAACAAGGTCAAGTTAAAGGACATACAACACAGTCAAGCAATGGTATATTACATTGTCATTGGACAATAGGTTCTTAGATTTGTCTATAGGTTGAATCAAAACATTGATAAACAATCAATTGATAAACAAAAGATAAACAATACTTTTAGCCAAAAGAATGTTTATAAAGCGGCTGTAACAAATGGAAAATAATTATAAGACTAAGTGAAAATAGCAAGATATAAAATTATATACGACTTTGAAAAAATAATCCTAAAGTAGGGGAAAGAAGACCTTAGAAAGAAATACTCCAAAATAGTAACAGGTTATCTTGAAGTGATGAATCTATGAGTGATTTTGTTCATTTGATATATTTCCTAAGTCTTTCATTAGTATGTATTACTTGAAAATTTTTTAAATGTCTAAAAGTACAAAAAAGAAGGTTTAGGTTAGTTATTTTTGGAGAGGCCTCTTAGGATTAGAGAGGGGAAATTATTAGAATGTGGGTCTTAATCCATGATGATGGAACAGATCCGGCATGGCTGACCCACTGGAGGGAGCAATCCAACTCTGGCTGACATGCGGCCCCTGAGCTAGCTCACTGGGTCCTTTGTCACAGAGGCCAGCATCCTCAAGGGTGTTAAAGAAGTCGATCAGTAACAACTACAGTCAGCGCTCACTGAGAACTGTTTGCCAGGCACTGTGCTTAAGTGCATTATAGGCATTAATCCAGACAATTAAAGAGGCACTCCAGATACACCCTTCTCAGAGGCCTAGAGAGATGCAGTGATTTTCCAGGGTCACATAACTAGTAGGTCACAGAATCAGGGTGCGAACCTGCACTCTGAGGGTCTCTGTGCCTTAGCCACTGTTCCACAGCATCAGGGGAGGGGAAGCAGCTCCCAGTCTCAGAGGTGTGGCCAGCACTCCAGGGTTGTGCCCTGTGCTGAAGGGAAGTTACCAACCTCCTGGAGCCAGTCCATCTAGGCAACTGTGGTTAGAATTGTGAGGGCTCCTTTGTCTTCTTCATATCTCTAAAAATATGCTTGCGTGCATACACAAGCAAAGAAGGGCCAGCCACTCAGCTACTTAGTCCTAGCTTTTTAAAGTGAATTTTTAAAAACATTAGCAGTCAACTCCCCCATGCCCCTTTTGGTGCTTCTTCATCTTTATCCAGGACCAGAGCCACCTATACCACAGGACTGTACTCGAAGACGACACAAGACATAAGACACACCCTCGGGCCTCCAGGCAAGAGAAGGTACAAGGTGAGGGAGGAGCATTCAGCTGGAGCGTGGAGCCAGACGTGAGTGGGCACCCAGGCTTACCTCTTGAGGACATCCTCGTCTACCCCTGCGGGCCGGCCACCACTGTGCTCTGACCTGGGCGGTTTGGCATCTGCAAAGGGATAAGAAGAAAAGGGCTGTAGCAGCACCTCAGGATCAAGGAAGGCATGGTGGTCATCCAGGAAAGGGGCTCAGGAGTGCAGCCCATGGACGGACATGCCCCATGGACAGACACAGAACACATCCCGATCCAGCCACTCCAGAGCGGGATGGCCCGAAGGCCCCTGTGCTCCCTCATTCTGCACCAGGGCAGCTGACTGCGCTGGGCCGGCAGCTGGCACAGCCACTTGAGTGCAGCGTCCAAATCCATCCCTACTCACTCCACAGGTACTTGGAATCTTGGTCATCTCCTAAACACAGCCAGGGATGGCTGAGGGAACCACTGTTCTGCTTCACGCTGGAAGGACAGCCTCCGGGGTCTGGGTTTTAGCACGGCAGAGGGGAGGACCTTAGACCTTGTTGCCCTTATTACCCCATTCTACAGATTTCTAACCCTGAATGTGGCAAACACTCCATATTAGTGATATTTTATGTATCATTTAACCTGCATCACCTCCAGTATTATTGGGCTGTTTAAGTTGTTACAGGAGGTCTACCTTCTGATGCCCATGAACTTGGGGATTTCTGAGCAAATCCAATTTACTCTACTCTCTCCACCACTTGGTGACACTGAAAGTTTTGTTATTCCCCCTCTCCTCAGGCTTCACCTTTCCCAAACCATCTTCCAGGCAAGCTCAACACTTCCCCGTGCCCTTGGCCAAATGTCCTATACCTCCAACATAGGTTTCTAAAGCAGCAGCTTTAGAACTAGGACTGCACAAAACATTGCAGAAGAACAGGCTTTGTGAAAGAACATGTGAGCATCTGCAATTCTACTCAGAGGCTGAGCACTCAGCCCTCAGGGAGTCACTCCAAACGTACTCACCCTGTGATTCGCACTTGCAGAGCACCTCTCACAGAAGCATGCCTGTGTGCTCCTTAGTAACACGCCAGGTGCTCGACTGGGAATGAAAATGGGATACTGTGCCCACTTCTTATTTTGACATTAATGCTCCCTGTTCTTAGTTATTGACTTACAACAGCTTTACGGAGGTATAATTCATTGTATTTATTTTTGTCTTTTATACAATTGTCCTTTTTTCTAAGTACAAAAATAACACACCTACCCATTGGAGAGCATGGGGCACAGATCCACACTCCCACCTCCCACGTCTGAGCCGTGTGGCTGCCCCCTCGGTAAGGCTAGGATTTATTACGTGTGTCTTTCATCGCTAGCCAGGCGGAGAGTCTGCGCACAGGTTTCGGACGCTGGCGCACAGCGCCCCTGCACGGTCCGACAGCCTGAGGAACTCCCACACGCTGAGACCACTCACGCTCTGTCGTTGTTAAGCTCCCTGGCTTATCATTCACTTTGCATTTATTTTTTCTAAATTGTCTCTATTTCTTATAGTTACATTTCCCACTTGGTTTCTTACGTTAGGGTTTCTTCACTTGCTGTCGGGCTTAGAAAGTCCACTTCCTGTACTTCTACGTTACTGCATCTTTATGGACTGTTACTGTACTTTTATGGCTTCAATTCTTACATTGAAATTTTTTATTTCCTCTGACATTTATTTTGAGGTATGGTATGACATAAGGATCTAATTTTAACTTCCTTTTCTGATCTTCTTCCATCACTAAAATAAAAGCAAACTCTAATTTTAAAAGTAAAAATATCTTAAAATTAGTCAACTTCAAGACAGGCATTTATGCTGACTGTTCCTCAGCATTTGGAAACTCAAAACTCACACCCATTTAAACAGCAAAATACTTTATTAAAGTAAAACCAAATGACAAATGAACCACTATTCTTGCTTCTTAAACTGCTGAAACTTACCAAAACTGAAACAAATGCTTCTTCTATCTTCCAAAGCTGAAAGTGATGTGTGCATGATATATTTTGGCAATTTTTGCTTTTTTCATCACTTTCTCCCTCTCGCCAGTTAATCCAGTTTAGTAAAGTGCATTGGGCTAAATTAGACCCCTCTCTTCAGTCAGCTGGAGACGTCATGGGGACTAGCCTTTTTGATAAAGGAAGAGGGCACCTGGTGTGGGTTTTAAGAATCTCACTCAGTCCCCTCACTGTTAGATATTCAAAACAATCCCAGGTGGGGCCGGCCCAGTGGCTCAGCGGTTAAGTGCGCACGTTCTGCTTCGGCGGCCCAGGGTTCGCCAGTTTGGATCCCAGCGTGGACATGGCGCTGCTTGGCAAAAAAACCTATGCTGTGGTAGGCATCCCACATATAAAGTAGAGGAAGACAGGCATGGATGTTAGCTCAGGGCCAGTCTTCCTCAGAAAAAAGAGGAGGATTGGCAGATGTTAGCTCAGGGCTTATCTTCCTCAAAAAAAAAAAAAAATCCCAGGGTGGGTCCAGATCCAGGTACTGATGTACTCTAATGCTCAGGAAGCCCTGAGGCAGATAATACACGGGGACAAGTGTCAGAAGGGCTGGCCGGCACCCCTGGCCGTGAGGATGAAGCCGGAGCTCTCCGGCCACTGTGCCGAGGTCTCTATGATGTGGCCCTGAGCACCACCCCAGCACCTCCCTTTTCCTTGCATTTGTACACCAGAGGTAACAAACCACTTCTAGGTCCCCAAACAGGCCAGCCTGTGCCATGTCTCTGGGCCTCTGCCCGAGCTGTTCACCATGCCTGAACTGCCCATTTACCACTGCTCTATCTTTCGAAATCCAGTTCAAACGTCATCTCCCTTGAAGCCCCTCCCTAACATAAGGAGTCACTGTCTCCTCCGTGCTACCCTGGACCTTGGGCATGCTCCCAGTGTTGCATCATCCCATGACAGATGTAACCTCCAGGCTTATACATCTGGCTCCTTAACTAGAGCTGCGCATACCCTAAGAGAGGTGCCCCGTCTGGCTATCGCTGTGACCCAGCATGAGACACACATCCTAATCCCTGGCTAGCACTCAGTAAACGCTGAGAGGACAGGACATAGCCCCTGCCTTCTACAGTCTTATAACCTAATAGTGAAGATTGATAAATAAATAAAAAGCAAAGGGGTATGGTGGAGTATATGAGGAAGCCATTTGGGTTAAAACTAATTCGACCTGATCTTGTTTTTCCAAAAGGGACTGACGTGGCCTATTGAGCACACATTGTCCATCTGCTTTAAACATTTACTGTGTCCCAAAGACAAGAATGATGCCCTTAAAGACAGGGATGTAGCTTCCCCCCATAACGGCATTTCTTTAAGGATAAGCACCTCTTCCTGGGAACTAAGGATTAATTACGGACCTGCTGTGCTCACCTTGTGACCACCACTGACCTGCTGTGCTAGCAAAGCAATCTTGTGACTGCTGCAAAAGGGACATTCCTGTCATATGTGATATATGCTCTTTGTTCCAAGACGGTATATAACCACTCTATGCACCCCATTTCTTTGGTGCCCTTCCTTCCTTTAGGAAGGAAGGCCCCGGGCTAGTCCTCAGATCTGGCTCATAATAAACTCACCCCAATTTTGATTTATAGACTGATTATGGATTATTTGCATCAACAAGATTAACATAAAAGACAATTCTAATGCGAGGCCACGGACGAGATGAGTGACCCCGTGGATGGTTATCCACCGGAAGGCAGAGTCAACCCTCTGCCGGGGCACAGCTCCTCTAGCCAATCAATGAAAAAATATCTATCAAGTTACAGAAGATAGACAAGACCTAGTTAGTTATTGAGTAAACAAGTTAGTTATTGAGTAGAGCAGCAGTTGCCCCAAGGACGTTTTTAGTTTGTAATATCTTAATGTTTTTGTACCTTATATTCCTCTTTCTTAAACTTGTTTGTTCCTTTGTGTTTGCTGAAAGTAGTTATTTGGGAAAAAGCACAAATTTCTTCATTTGTGATGGGCACAATAGGGTAGGGAACAAATCAGCTTTGAGGCCAGCTTGGGCATAGGAAGAGGAATTCCTGGGAGGCACAGGATGGCGGGCCCTCCCAGAAGCCAGGCCAGGATCACTTGATGTGAGGGCTAGGTTAGACTTGCTGAGGTTGATGCCAAAGTCATTGACTCAATTCCCCCTAACTTGTTCCAAATCACCCAAATCTCTATCATTCTTTGGACCATACCAAACAGTAATGGTTACGCTTTTCTTACAGATCCTTAAAAGCAACTTCTTACCCGAGTTGTCAAACCAAGCCCTTTTGCCTCATATTTTACATATAGAGAAACTGAAACAGTGAGGGAAGACAGTTTGGCCCCAATCACAGAAGCTCTGACTACTGTGCTGCTTCATTGTACCGGACAGCGTCGTCATGCACAGGAAGCCACACTGTCCTGGAAGGACTTATCAGAAAGGAGTTGCTTACATCACCCAGAAACAAATGGGAGCCACATTAGCTGTCAAATATGTTCTGCCAGGAACGTCATCTGCCATTGCTTTCGCATCGCTCTCACTCTCCAGAGAATCGCTGCAGCCCATACCTTTCTCCGGGCCTTCAGAGGTGCCAGATGGAGAAGGGGGAGTTGGCTGCCCCGCTTTGGAAGGCTGGCTGGAACCCTTCATTCGGTTAACCACATTTTCAGACAGCTAAGGGAAGAATTGAGGGATGGGAAAAGAGGGACAGGGAAAAAGTTATATCACAGAAACCTCTGGAAATGAAGACTCCCCTTTATCCATGCCCCAGATTGACTGTGCACATTGCTTCCTCAAGACCAACTCCAATAATAAAATTCTACTCAAAAACCCCTCATAGTGGCCCAGTGCCTACCAGATTAGTACCAAACCCGGCTGGATTCCAGACGACCACAGCATGTCGCCTCCTGGCTGTCTGGCTTCATCTCCTACTGCCCCCTACACACACCCTACACACAGTGTAACCTGAGTTCTCACTTTTCTCACCTCCTCTGAATCCATTATGCTGCAGTCCTCTGCTGATAACCACCAGTGGCACCCCCAACCCTGGGACATCTCCACCTATCCAACTCTTGCCCTTCCTTTAAGGGCATCTCAATGTCTCCTTCTCCAGGAGACCTTTCTTGGTAGCACCCAAGTCAAGTATCATTTCTCCCCTTCCTTTATGCTCACATTATAGCACACGTGTGCCTCTTAGGGAAGTATCACACATCCCATCTGCCTCATCCTAATGGTCTGTGAATACCTTGAGGGTTGGGGCTCCCTCTCACTCATTTCCATATACCTGCCATGCCACACATATAACAGACAATTATCATGCTGACCAACTCTTTTCACCTCAGTTCCCCCAGAGAAGACTAAATAACCAAAACTTCCATTCACTTTAGAGGAAGTGAAATAGGCATGAGGGTATCAAAACAGCTTACCAAAATGAGACAGAAAGCTAGGGATAAATCTAGAATGGAAACCCTTAGGAGTTCACTTCAGTAAATACTGATTAACTGCTTCATATGTGCAAGGCACCATAAAGCACAGTCAACGGGAAATCGTAAAAACGACTTTAAGACAAAAGCCATAATCAGCAACTCCACTTCCAGGTATCCAGCTGAGAAAAGTGCTCCCACATGTACACAGCAGCATTGGAATAGCAAACAACAAAGGAAACAACATAAATATGCAACAATAGGAAACTGGTTACAGAAATGAGGGTGCATTCCTTCTATGAAATATTATGGGACCATTAAGAAACAATCCGGTAAGACACATATAATTGTCATAGGAGAATGTATGGGACACACTACTGAATTTTTAAAGTTATAGAACACTTTCTATATCTCAATTTTGTAAAAAGAGGTACACAATTATAAAAATGCAGACATACAAATATAAATAGGTCAACATATACACATATACATTGACAAATGTGAATGTGCACTTGAATTTTCACATATATGCATGTAAACAAATATAGGTATCTGTTCAGAGGTGAAAGTCTGCAAGGCTACAGACAAAACACTCACATGTTATGTCCTGCAAGTGGGCACAGGAGTAGCTGGGGCAGGACTTTCACTTTGGGCACTTCTGTGTTCTAATTTTTTACCATGAAGATTTTTTTCACAACTAAAGATTGAGTCCCTTTAGTATCTAATATAGATACAAATCAAAGAGTTAATTAATGATATAGGACGAGAGAAGACTGAGCATAGACAGTAGTACAAGAGAATTTGGAATCCAGAAATAAACTCATACATCATGGTCAACTGATTGATAAAGGTGCCAAGACAATTTAATGGGGAAAGAATAATCTCTTCAACAAATGGTGCTGGTACTACTGAATTTCCACATGCCAAAGAATGAAGCTGGACACCTACCTCACACTGCACAAAAACTAACTCAAAATGGGTCAGAGACCTAAATGTAGGGGCTAAAACAATAAAACTCGTAAAAGAAAATATAGGGGTAAATCTTCATAACCTTGGCTTTGGCAATGGATTTGTAGTTATGACACCAAAAACATAAGCAATCAAATAAAAAACAGATATGATGGACTTCACTGAAATTAAAAAGTTTTGTGTATCAAAGGACATAATCAAGCAAGTGAAAAGACAACCCACAGAATGGGAGAAAATATTTGCAAATCATATATCTGACAAGGGATATGTATCTAGAATATATAAAGAATTCCCACAACTCAATAATACAAAGAAAAGTAACCCAATTAAAAAATGGGCAAAGGATCTGAATAGATATTTCCCCAAAGAAGATATATAAATGTCCAATAAGCAAATAAAAAGATGCTCAATATCATTAGTCATTAGAGAATGCAAATTCAAACCACAATGAGATACTACCACACACCCACTAGGATGGCTACAATAAAAAAATCAGATAATAGCAATTGTTGGCAAGGATGTGGAGAAATCAGAACGCTTATACATTGCTGACGGCAATATAAAATAGAGCAGCCACTGTGGAAAACAGTCCGGAAGTTCCTCAAAAGGTTGAACACAGAGTTACCATTTGATCCAGCAATTCCACTCCTAGGTATCTACTCAAGAGAAAGGAAAATATATGTCTACACAAAAATTTGTACATGAATGTTCATATCAGAATTATTCATAATAGCCAAAAAGTGGAAACAACCCAAATGATGAATGGATAAGTAAAATGTGGTATATCTATATAAGGGAATATTATTTGACTATAAAAAGGAATGAAATACTAATGCATGCTACAAAATGGATGAACCCGAAACCATTATGCTAAGTGAATTAAGCCAGATACAAAAGGCCACATATCATATGATTGCACTTATTTGAAACATCTAGACCAGGCAAATCTCTAGAGACAAAAAGTAGATTAGTGGTTGCGTTGGGCTTGGAAGAATGGGGTGACTGGGGACTCACAGCTAAAGGGTAAGTGGTTTTTTTTTGGGGGGGTGATGAAAACGTTCTAAAAATGATTGTGGTGATGGTGGCACAAATCTGTGAATATGCTAAATAACATTGAATGGTACACTTTAAATGGGTGAATTGTATGGTGTGTGAATCATATCCCAATAAAGCTGTTACAAATAAAAAGAGAGAGGGAGAAGCAAAGACAAAAGTGAGCAGTCAGACAAGATGTCACTCAGCAAAAGCAAGCTATCCCAAGGAACGTGCGCAGGTATGGGGTCCTGAAGGCAGAAGCTATAGTGTGTTGAGGGGAGTGGGGGGTATCTCGCACCGTGCAGGTCAGGGCATGGGGAAAGTGGCACAGACAGACAGTCAGGGACCAGTGTGCCTGGAGCCCTAAGTCCATTGGGGAAGGTGTGGGTTGTAAAGGTGGCCTTGGACGAAGCTGGTACTGAAAGAAGCTTCGAAACCAGACAGAAGGGCTCCAACAACTGTGGGGCATTGCTGAAAGTTTCTGAGCCAGGAAAAAACATGAGCAGTGCTTTTAAAGGATGAAGTGGCAGTGTTATAAGGAGCACACTGGAGTGGGGAGTGTGCCTTTGGTCATGAAGTGACAAGGGCGTGCAGCAGCAACAGTGATGGCAACCAAAGGCTTTGTCTGGCGCTCCTTTGGCAGCAAGGAACAGAGGAGAGCACAGGGTTAAAGAAGAAAAAGGGGTTTTGATCTCAAGTTAGTGGAAGGAGTTGAGTGAGAATGACAGAAAAAGGGAAATCAAGAAAAGAGAGACTATTTCAAGAGAGTAGTAAATTAGCTTGACTGTAGATATAAATCCCAGATTATAAACCGGAAAGAGCCCCTCAGAGTGTGCAGGCTCACTCCTGCTTTACAGCCATAGCCACTAAGACGCCAATCAATCAACGCATTAGAAATGGAGAGTAAGCTTTACAGCGCGGCCAAGTGGCCATTTCTTGCTCACATCAGCCACACAGAGGGTCAAGGTGGGACACCTGGTTGGCTGTAAGGCAACAGCAAGGGTGAGGTGGAATGTTCTCCAGTGGGGACACGGGGCTGGCACTCAAGAGTGAATTTGCATGGAAATAAGATTTGGAATCCCACCAGTATACTGGAACCAGCTGGAAGTACTGATTTTTAAATTTTCAGGAATTTTGCAAGCTGGTTGACTTCATCACAGCAGCTTGAAAGTGGCCATGGCCATTTTTTTTAAGGCCTGATTATTCTTCTAAATTCAAAAACAACTGACTACGGGGGGCTGGCCCCGTGGCCGAGTGGTTAAGTTCGCGCACTCCGCTGCAGGTGGCCCAGTGTTTCGTCAGTTCGAATCCTGGGTGCGGACATGACACTGCTCATCGAACCACGCTGAGGCAGCATCCCACATACCACAAGCAGAAGGACCCACAACGAAGAATATACAACTATGTACCAGGGGGCTTTGGGGAGAAAAAGGAAATAATAAAAAAATCTTAAAAAAAAAAAAACTGACTACGATAAGTGTTCCACAGCATAGTGTAAGTTAAAGATCAAATATATACATATACCAGAGACTTGGTTTGAAAAACCACAGAAATCGGCAAACACCACAAATCAGGGCCCTTTCTTAGGAGGAGAGCCAGTTGTTAAACATTTACCAGCACACGACAGGGCACCGCCCCCGGCCTCACCCTCTCTCCAAGTGGACTTTGAGAATGCACCAGTCCTCTGAGGGACTGGGGGCACGGAGCACGTGTCTGGAGGAAGGAAAGCACTGAGTGGTCCGAGAATCCATATGGGTGTCAGTGAGGCACCAATGACGTGTGATGTGCATGAAAGAGGCAGCCACAGCTGGTAGCATCCCAACCCACACTGTGGACAAGGGCCATGTGACCAGGAAGAGCATTCACCGACGTCCATAGAGAAGAGGCCCTAGCAGTGGGGCCCCGTGGCCAAGGGCGCTGTAACTATGATCCATCTTCCATCATCAAGTATTTGTGTATTAAGCACCCACTGTGAGAGCAATGTTCCAGAAACAGTGGGTGAAACAAACAGCAAAGAAACAACAGTGAAAGGTCCCTGCTTTCACAAAGCTTACATTCTAATGGGAACTGAGAGACAAAAAAAGAAGTAAACAATTTCACATATCCTATTTCATCCAATCCAAGGCACCATCAGTTGTAAATCACACCATTGTCTTTCTACAGCCTGAAGAAACACTAATGAAATGAACATTTCCCCTCTTATATGACATCTCTATTTCAGAGATGTTAAAGCGTGTGTCTTAAACT